ATTATTTTAGTAATTTTTAATTACCTTGGCTAGATTCATTGGAAGAGTTACCACTGGTTCATCTAACTGTCGGCTAATATTTTCATGTAATTTTAATAAGTAGGTCCTGGATCACTGGACTTTTCAGCTCCTTAATTGCATCACTCTGATGAACACCGATGCAACATGCAGGGTTAGTCGCTGCATCCAGTTTGTGTGCCACTTACAACCCATTTCTGCTCTTCTTGGTGTCTGAGACCAAATTCTTGCGCACTTTGGACTGACGGCATCTTACTTTCTGCAGTCTTCTTTCTCTGGGGTATTTTTTCTTTATGAACCTCATACTGAGGCTTTCTGAACTTCCTGTCTTTAGAAAGCTGTGCCTCTTTAGCATTCGACTTTGAAGATAATTAAAGAAATGGAGCAGGCAATGACTTATGAACGTTTCTTAATTGTAACAACATGGTAAAACATTCTTCTCATCTATCTAGGAGCAAAATAGCCCAAAGGTAGAATCTGACCACCAGTTCAATAAACTAAAATCACTTTGCCTTATTTTTGTTTTTAAAAGGAAAGACTGCAATGGTACTCTGGTGAAATATTACATAATTATTCTCATGACTATCAAGGTGAGATAGCAATTACAAACTGCATCAAGTTCACCAAATCAACATGAACAAAATGCCTGCATGAAAAGAAAATAAAAGACAGACAAAAGCATTAGATACATGTCTTTCTTCAAGATTCATATGCTGGCTGAGTAAGCTTAAACCTGTGCCATAAACATGGAATTACAATGTGATGGAGTTAGCTGAAAATGCAATAAAGGGAACTTATGATATACATTATTCAATAGGCATTGGTGAGCAATTTCTCCTACTGTACATTTTGTTAGTGGTGATTCATGAAGAAGTTGGTATTGAATTTAAGAACATGATTACTGTGAGGATTTCTAAAATGCTCCATGGCCCCTCCAGTTCACAGCATCATTCTTGTTTCAGAGCTATTGTCATTTGAGAATGTTTATTCTGGATGATCTTAAAAACAACAAATTAGAGATAACTTTCCTTAATAAGAAAATGCAAAATTTAAGCCCTAGAAATTATCATATTTTGATTACAGTAAAAGCATAGGAGATTTGACAAAAGCATTCAAAATCATGAGAGGCCTGGACAAAGAGAACAGGGAAAAAACAATTGTGTTATGATTACCTTCATTGCTAAACAGCGATTACTAACAAAGGTATAAAAATATTCTTTGTTTTTGCTCTGGTTATTGGCGGCACTGTTAGTTAGATATGTAACATTACATATACGTTACAGAATCACAGAACATCCAATTGTTACAGCATAGTCATTCGTCTTGTTTCTGCACCAGCTCTTCAAATAAGCAATTTACCTAGTGTCATAAATCCCCCAACTTCTCCCTGTAGCCCTGTATGAGCTTCCTTTCCAGGCAATAATCCAATTCCCTCTTGGACTGCCTTTATTGGAACTGCCTCCACCATAGTCTCAGATAGCACATTCCAAACTTTAATAACCACTCGCTACATAAACAAGTTTCTCGTCATGATTATCTTAAATCTGTGCTCTCTGTCTCATGATTCATCCACTAGTGGGAGTGATTTTCTCTATTTACTCTGTCCAGACTCATCAATCTATCAAGCCTCCTCTCAACCTTCTTTTCTCCAAGGGAAACAATCTTACGTTCACAAATCTATCGTATCACTGAAGTTAGTTCATATTTATTAGACTGTTATTACTTTCACAGATATTTAACTGTCCTTTGTACTGAACAGGTCTCTTTTGATGCCTCTGCTTATTTTTGCCAAACACGAAGAAGAGTGCAGAGCATTAGCATGATCCCAGTAGCTTTAAACAAACACTTACAATTCTCAGCACCTTTATATTGTAATTGATGAGCATAATCCTTTAAGTTAAAATATAGTGGGTACTTCTGCAGAGACACTTTCCATGATTTATACACATCCATTACCCTGTTAAAATTTAAAACGTTTGTGTATTTACATACGGTGTCTTTTTCGAAGACATTCTACTATGGTACTTCATTGAAAGGGAGAGTTTCTGGTATAATTATGATATAGTGTTATCACTTCCAACCCACTCCTGCCCTTCATGGTATGTTATTGAGATTCTAATCCTTCTAATTATTTATGACTGGGTGCGTATCTCAGATTTGAGATTTGTGTTACAGCTTGTTTTAAATGAAAAGCGGTGTTACTTGTTAGGACAATTTTCATCTATATTTACTCTTGCTATGAATGAGTTTTTCATTGCATGTTCAGAAGATTGGCATAGACAATTGTGTGAAGTCAATATTCTAGATACAGAATATCATTCTCAATGAAAAATGTCAACAAGATCTTTATTGCTCAATGAAAGAAGTGGATTGTATCTGAATTGTCTGTACCAACCAAGTAACTATCATCATGGCCGCCTCACCTGATTCCCTGTCATCAAATGGACATTTAAGGACGTGCAGAGAAAAATATAAGGACTGATTGTAAGATGCCATTATATTATGCAGTCATTGAGTATGAACACAGCATTTCAAATTATTGAAAAAAATCAAATGTGGACAAAAAAATGTTTAATGGACAACCACCACCAACTACCGCACCCCCCCACCTGTTTCTTTTTAAACCGACTTCTGACTCTACAAAGCATCTCCACTTTACAAGGCAAAGATTTGAGGGAATGCTCTCTATTTGTCTGGATAGATACAGTTGCAAGAACTCAAGAAACTGAACACCTTCCAAGGACTTAAATGTCCACTCTTCCCCACCATGTGTGTACTGATGCAGTGTGGGCCATCTAAATATCTACAGGCTCAACTGCAGCCAGTTTCCATGGTTTCTTCCCACACCATCCACCTCCATCACCAGATGCAAATGAAAACACCATCTCCCCTCCAAGCCATATACCATCTTGCCTTGGTTATATTGTGACATTCCTTTCTTGTTACTGAGTCAAAATCTTATAATTATGGGAGTGATGCCTAAAAACAATTTTTTTAAAATCAAAACATATTCCACAATCGCTGTTTGAGGATTTGAAGTTTAAAAGCGTCTTGCAAATTGGTTTCAGTAAAAATGGTCATGAAGATAACCAATTGTCTGATTCCTTCCCTACAGAGAAGGAAGTCTGCTGTACTTCCTTGATCTGACCTATATGTGACTCAGTCCCATACCAATGTGCTTGATTCTTAATTGCCCTCTGATGTTACCCAAGTAGCTATGCGGTGGTACTGAACCTCATCAGAGAAATTTAGGACTCCACATCCTGAGATCAAATAAAGTTAACAAAAACCATTTCTTCCTCTCCCCATCTGTTACCTACTCCCTTTAAAAGATGATCATTTATTTTCGGTTAGAGTTGTATTGGTATTGACCAATTCAAACAGTTGGCTATTCTCCAGACTTGAGCTTGGTCAGCAAGACTTGGAAGGCTGTTTGCCAAAGATGGGACATCAAAGCCAAATATAAGACTGCTCTGATCTGCATTCCACATGTGGAAGTCCTACATAAGTCAATAAACAGTGATTACTTGTTGGAAACTGGAGAAAATATGGCTTACTATTGGAGCCCAATACTAGTCTAGCAGAGATCAGAAAGTTTAGAACAGATCCTGGACTGAGTGCAGAGAATATCTTTCTCGGTAGATATTGTTGATGAAAGAGGAGCTGAAATATTATCAGGAGTATAGAATAATCAGATTAACTGACTGGTGAAGCAGCTTCAAGGAGCCCAGTGGCCTACTCTTGCTTCTAATTCATGGTTTTATGTTAGTTTGCTGCCAAATGAGACAAGCACTTAAGCCACTGTTTTTTCTTCGAATATTATTTCCTTCATTATAAACTTTAAATATTCACTGATTCATAGAGTCACACAGTACAGAAGTGGCTATTCCACCCATCAACCCGCACTGACAAAACTATCCGAATTCTACACGTCCCACTTTCCAGCACTTAACCTATAGTCTTGAATATTCTGACATTTCAAATCAAGTTCCTTCAAGTTAATTTATTTGTCATCGTGCACTCTTCAGCTGATTGGCAGATCTTGGCTTCTCCAATAATTTCCACTGAAGTTACTGGAAAGAAACATTGGCCAATCAACTCAAAATCTTCATTTTCTGCCCAACCAAAATTTAATGTTATTCCAAGTGGATTAGGTAGGTTTTATGCAGGGCTATGTTAGAGGGACACCTGAGGCTGTGGGGAGCTTTGGCTCAGTAGGTAAAAGGAAAGGGAGAAGTGACCCTAATAAAATTGCAAATGATATCTTCTCAGAATCTGACTATGCTGCAGCCTCCGTCATCATCCTTCGCAATGTATCTGCCATCATTTGCATGGTCAACACGAACTTTCCTCCCTCGACATCTTGCTATTGTGATCTTCAATTGATTCCATCCCTATCCATCTTCCTACACACATACTGTTTCCTTTTGATGTGCCATCTTGGTCCTTTACCTACGTGGCTGCCCATGTCATCTATAGAAACAAGTGGTCAGGTTCCACACGTATTTTGACAACAATTTGCTCCACCTTTTCACAACTTCTCTCAATGGCCTCAGCGCTATCAGGTTCTGAGCCCAACATCCAAATTTAGAAGAATGGCAAAGTTCTTTGGTTAAGCATTTTGTGAAGTCTGAAGATTTTCGCCTCAGGCCCTGTCACACACTCAACTGCAATTTACTCCCTTGTCTCAGCCACTAAACCAGACTGCTCAGAATCTTTGTATCCTGTGTAATGATGAATGACCGCTGTAAAGGAGGAAGCTTTACAAAGTCCCGAGGAATGGCAACTCAGTCCTCTCCCACATTGAGTATACTAAAAAAGAAATCATTTCTAACTGGCAGGTATGGGTCTGAAACCAATCGTCACAACCTCTATTTCACCTTGGCAAAAATAAATTTATTTATTCATTATTTCATTCATTCATTACTTCATCGATTTGTCACACATCACTAAAGAAAAATAGATCAGAATGAGTTTCTTACTGGTCGCTCATGTTCTAGGATTGACGACTTTCCTGGTTCATATTCAAATATGCTTCTAGGTTCAGCCCGATATCTCCGAGTATCAACTTTTCTGTCAGGTGGATCCCACTCGTTCCTGGTAAATGATAGTGAAAGCCATCGTATTTGTTATGTGCACTGTATCATCAGCATCACATTTCACAATTGGCATGAATATGAAATACTCTGGGACTTACAGACCACAACACGCATAGACAGTACACAAATTAAATCTTTAACAAATGCACAAGGTCCTCACCTCTTTCGATAGTGAAAATCTAGTTGGTATACACACCGGCTGTGACAAAGAACAGCAATACTCCGAGTGACAAAAATCGACTATCCAAATCGTAAATTAATATACAAGCTGGACAGTTATAAGGGGAAAAGGGGACATAATAGGTTCATTGGGAAAGAGGTACAAATTGCATTAAGTGACATGATAGAAGAGATCGTTAGTCAAAATTGTTGAGACAGTACATTGTAACCTGCAAGGAAGAAAAATAATTTCAGAGTAATTTTCACCTTTGAAAAATAAAATTGTTCTGGTGACATCCTGCCCTCATCATAATGCTGATGTGATGTCATGCAAGGTTAAATTTCAAAGATTTGCACATGGGCTGCAACTACATACTTTAACGGGTTTAAAAAGAAAAAAAAATTCCAAACACAGTACTGAATGGCTCAAATTATTATTTGATTTATAGCAGTGTATTTATGAGAGACGTATCCTTTAATTTTCATGTTTGTTTTCAATTGGGAGATGGTTAGGAATGAAACACTCTTACGTTCTCAGTGAAAAACGATGAAACTTATGTTAGCCCCACAGTAAAGTTCTATTTAATGAAGCATCAATGTTGCATGCACAGTTCCCTCATCAGAAATCCACCAGCATCCAGAGAGAGAGAAGGAGAGATATGAGCTGCAGCTCACCTGTACATCAACAGGCAAAGATTTGAGGGGGTTGAAATCAAAATTCTGTCTCTGGCCTGTCACATTCCTGGCTGCAATATTTGTCATTCAGGCCTTGAACAAAGCAACTGCTAAAGGCAGGAGGGAATCTCTTTGAGTCATCGCCTGATGATATCCAGAAGTTCTGAGGACCAGTTAGTTACTCCTACAGGTTGGGAAGGAGTTATGTGTCAAGGTGGAAATCCCGATGCAGTCGACCCCACAGGAATTGCTGGGGTTTTTCAAATTCACTTGGGCTAATGTTACTATGTCTGGAACCATCTGAAAAAGTTCCTTTAGAGGTTAACATCTTTATCATGTATCTCAGGTGCGCAAGGCTAAGCAGCTTTCTGTCAGTTCTGGTGAGTAAGTACCCTCTCTGTAGATGACCTGAGGGCAAATGACAGCATCAAGAATGTGGTGGAACAGTGCTCCAACCACAGCCCTCTTTGACCTCACTGTGGGTCTCCCACAGTTCCCATGTTGCCCCTGTAGCTGACCTGGTGCATCATCTTTTCATGGAAATGGACATCAGAATGAGCAGCTGGCAGTCATTCTTCACCAAAAGTTTAATTGCTCACATGGCCAGTTGTCTTGGTGAGACCAATGACGGTAACACACATTGATCTCCTTTGCTCATGGCATTTCTCCTGCAGATGGGTCTGTTGTCTCTTTGATCCTTTCAGATTTGCTCCTGACATTCCCTGTGCACATCTGAATATTCTGGTGACCAGTACTGATTGGCATGCTCCCTAGCACTTTATGAAACTTCACTGAGCAGCTTTTAACATAGATATTTTAAAAAATCATTCACAGGATGAAGAGTCACTGCCTAGGCCAGCTTCATGACTCATGGACAGTCCCCATCCCAATGTTAATGACCATCTGCATGGTTTTGACATTCTCATGTTCACTGGAGGACTCACCCCTCTGACTGTGCAGGCTCCCCTGAATGGGCCTGGCCCAATAACAAAACAAACAAATCTACCTAGGCCACTGCATCGCTTCAATATGGAGTCAGCACTCCTTCCCCCTGCAGCCTCAGTACTGGCCACCTCTATCTGTTGTGCAGATGCTGCCAAGCTGCTGGGCCCTCATACTGGGATAACAGGTGAGACAGAAACGCTGCCATCCTCAATGTATAAGTACTCCCGGCACAGTCTCTTCATTAGCGACTGGAGAATCCCCTGCATGGCTCAGGCGTTTGCCCTCACTGACCCATAACTGACCCCGGCTGCAGGATCTAAGGGATGCTGATAAAACACCTGCCAATGTACCCTGGCTCTCCACATGCACCATTCTCATGCTCCCTTCTCCAGTAAAAACCAAGAAGGGAGTGGAATATGTAGATGCTCTACAGTGCTGCAAGCAGATTTGTTAGGGCATGAAAATATTTGGCAAGAACCCCTATTCTGACCTCTTCTCCAATGAAAATATAAGCATGTAGACACTCAACTTTAAATCTACCTTAGTCAGATCATTTTAAAGCTGGCAAATGTCTTTAATACTGAAAATATGACACAGCGAATAAGAGAAGTAAGGTGCCCTATCACATAATAACATTCTCTTTTAACTTTTGAATTTGTCAAATCCTTGGATAATCAATCATACAAACCTCAAATATTTCACCAGGCTTGCCACACAACACCTTTACTCAGCACTTACCTTTCGGTGGAATCTGTTTCTCTCAGTCTTGGTTGTGAAAGTGGTGGGACAGGTGGAGGCGGTGGTAGTGGAGCAGATTCCTTGAAGAATTCAACCCCATTGTCTGAGGTACTTTTTGATAAAGGCCGGTAAGTATGTGTCTTGGGAGGTGGGTGCGCCTGAACAGAGGTGAATGCGCTGTAATTATCTAGTACAAAACAATGAAAGATTTTTTAAAACCTTCAATAGAAGAGAACAGATGTGGCTTTCTAAATGTCATATAGAAGCAAAAAGAAAGTTTACTCTTCTCTGCAGACACATCTCAAAACTTACTGGCTGAAAACTTTCTTGGCACAGTTCCCAAACATAATCTTCAATAAAAGTAAAATGTCAATCTCTTTGTTTTACTTTGTGTTGGAGAAATTATTGCAGAAGAATGGGAGGGGGACCAGACTAATCTGTATGCCATGTATAGCGATGTAGGAAACTGTATCTTTTCTGTCTCATGAACAAAGTTGAGGTTCCTAAACTGCATCCACTATAGTGAAAAAAAGCTTCACTTCTGGGATTTCAATAGTTCTGTCAAAGATCACTCCAAAATTCCATAATGTGAAGTGGTCTCCACCAACGTTGGACGCAAATTGATCTGGGCTTGTACCTATTGTTTCTCATTGAATATCAGAAAGTCAATTCATTTATTCAAATTGTGGCTTATCACAGATATTTGTATTGATCCCCAACTCATTTTCCACTGTTGAAATCAATTGCAATGGTATGACAAACTGAAAGACTTGAATATTCCCAAGTTTGTTCTGTACCTGTGCTGTGTTAGCTGATAAAACCATGACAAACAGGAGCATAAGTAGGCCATTCAGCCCACTGAGTCTGTTCTCCTATTCAATCAGTCCATGATTGATCTGATAATCATCAACTTCACTTTGCTGCCTTTTCTCCATTACCCTTGATTCATTTACTAAATAAAAATTTGTCTATCTCAGTTGAATACACTTAACAACACAACCTTCACAGCCTCTACAGTAAAGAATTCCACAGAATCCCTACCCTCAGAGAAGAAATTCAACCTCAGACCTGCCTTAAATGGGTGATCACTTACTAAGATTATGTCCTCTGGTCCTAGATTGTCCCAAAAGGGAAAACAACCTGTCAACATCTACCCTGTCAAGGCCCCTTGGAATCTTATATGTTTCAATGAGGTCCCCTCTCATTCTTCTAATGGCCCAAACTAATTCAAATTCAACTCATAAGAAAAAGCCTCATATCTAGGATCAACCACGTGAATATTTTCTGAATGCTTCCAAAGTATTTCCTTAGAGAAGGGGTTCAAAACTGTTCACAGTATTCCAGCTACAGTCTGACTAGTGTCTGATATGGTTTTAGCAAGACCTCACTATTTTTATACTCCATTCCATTTTTAAATAAAGGCCTACATTCATTTGGTTTCCCTATTATCCACTGAACTTGGATGCTGGCTTTTTGTGACTCATGCACAAGGAGCCCAAAATCCCTCTGTGCTGCAGTTTCCTGCAGTGTTTTCACATTTAAAGAAATTCAACTCCTTTATTCTCACATAATCTCACATATGTCCACATTAAATTCCAGCTGTCAAATTTCTGGCACTTTACCTGATTGTATTCTTCTGTAAACTTTTGATGTCATCCTCATCACTAGCCTTCCCACCTATTTTAGTGGCTTCTATAAACTGGACAATAGTGTATTCACTTGCCTCATCCAAGTTATTAACATATGTTGGAAATAATTGTGACCACAACACTTAACCCTGTGGCTCAAGTAAGCAGGAGTTGCAGCAAAGGGAATATCGTGCCTTGTATCACTGGACTGCGCGAGGTGGGAAGGAACAAAATGAACTGGAGATCTGTTTCTGACTATTGCTCATTACTGCTGGAAATTCAGTCTAGGCCAAGACAATTTGTTCTCGGTGATTAAAATGAGAACTGCTGAAGAAACTCAGTAGGTCAGGCCAAACCTGTGGACAGAGATGAAGAAGAGTCATGTTAGACTCGAAACATTAACTCTGTACCTCTCTTCACAGATGCTGCCAGGCCTGGGAAGCTTGCCCAGCACCTTCTGTTTTTATTTCAGATTTCCAACCTTCACTGTTTCGTTTTTAGTATACTTGGTGATTCCACTCTCTGTGATCAGGTAGACAAGGAACACTCACTTTTCAGGCAAAACTGCACAGTGGATGTTTTTGTTTGAAACACTGGAAAAATGCAGGCCTCTGTCAAACCATGTGCAGGTACAAGGGGGAGGCATGAAGGAAGTAAAACGTAACAGTTCTGTTTCAAAGCATGGGTCCATCTTTTGCAGGAAAAGGCACACCAGAACTACCACTCCCTGTGTGGCATTTGTCAACTTAGCTATTGGGAATGCTATACTGTAGTTTAAATTCTCCTCTACTCCGTCACAGTAATGTACATTGGTCACTAATATTTTCGACTGTGGAGGTCAATATGACTTTTCCATTTCACACAATGGCCTCATTATCTGTGAAAGCCAGAGATTACAGCTGGGCGCTGTATATACACACCCACTGAGGAACTGCTTCAGACTGCTCAACTTCATTTCACATAAGCCCCTTCTAGTCATCACAAAGAGATTCTCATCCTGTCTGTCTGCACTAGATTTGAATGCAGGTCCCGAAGTTGAAAAGGCCACTGTATGAAACGACTGAGAACCCAATCTTATTGCATTCCCAATTTAATGTAATTAGAACATGAAAGAAAAGTTGAAAATGAAAAGGCGTTTCATAGAATGAGTAACACACATCCAGATGAAACATCTTTTGTTTTCTGTAGGCTTTTTATGCTTGAATGAGCAATTAAATGTAATATCCGAAGAAAAAGTTTTAGCGTATTGGGCAGGTCAAGTTTCTACCTGAACAAGAAGTAAAGGCTATTAATATCTCACCTTCATTGCCAAGTGTTCTCCCAAACCTGTTTGTGCTACAGACTGGTGGAGAAAGCTTTTATTTTGTTGTTTTGACTGAGCTTTCATCAAAATGAAGATTGAATCCTTTCCAATGATAAACAAATAGTGCGGCACAATTCATTGCTGCTTGAATTATTCACTACAGAGGCAGGTTAAAATGATCTGCTGGCCATTTTGATGTCGTAACATTACCCCTTAAAAATAAAGGCACACACCCGTACTCACCCTACCCCTGTCTAAATTTCTTCACAAAGGGTAGGTGAACAGTTGCTGTAAAACATACTGAGTTCAATCGTTCCTAGTTCCAGGCTTATCAACAGTGAAGTAATTTCATGGATTCCAGTGTGCCAACCTCTAACCTGTCATCTCTCTTTACAGGATCTCACTGAGTTGCTGTGTTCTTCCAGTTATTTCTGTTTCCACACCGGACTATGAGTATTTGCAGTTTTTCATTCTTGATCACACTTTTAGTTCCTTACTTACCCTTTTGTTGAGCACATGAGGTAGTGGGTGGAAATACAGAAATCACAGAAGCAAAACACCACATAGAAAATCATCATCTAGATTGCAGGTAGAACTGATGAATGTGAGTAGTGACCGGGTTATTATGGATAACGCTAAAAATGTTTTCCCTTGTGCTAACTTTTCTTTGTTTTCTGAATCAATCCAGTTCAGAGATGTGTAACAACATCTCTGGAGCAGGTGAGATCTGAACCCAGGTCCCCTGGCTCAGAGGTAGGAACACTATCACTGCACCACAAGAGCCCTCTGTTAATTGTAAATCAGCTTGCTCAATTATCTGCAGATGGAAGGTATTAACTGGCATTTTATTTGAGCAATTATAGGGAGTAGCGCAGAGCAGAGTTCCTACACCTGAACCAAGAGACCCAGGTTCGAGTCCCACTTGCTCCAGAGGTGTCTAATAGCATCTCTGAACAGGTTAATTAGAAAAAATATATGAGCAATTGTAACACATAAAAAGGAGAAAAATTATAAAGAGACACTACTCTCTCCCCTTCCCCTCCACCACATTCGTTATTGTTGCACTAGCTCTGCTGGGTAAGGATAATTGTTCTTTAAATTGGTAATACAATTGATTTGATGGTGGTAAAAACAACGTCCATAGGTATGTAATAGCATCTGAACAAAAAGCATTAGAAAAAAATGACAAAGTAAAGAGACACTAGGATCATATGGCACAGAGGTAATGTCCTAGATCACGATATGCTAGCAATGGAGATCTGTCAAAACATGTCCAAACTGACAGACTAAAACAAAATTCGAAAAAGACACTACTGAAACTGGGGATAGCTGAGCTAGAAGATGTATCCTTGTAATGTTTCACTCTGAAAATAAATTAGACTGAGTAAAGATGAGCTCCAGAACTATCTGTCGCCAATTGGCTTTTAGGAATATAACAACTTGGATAGTGAGGTATTAGTTTCTAGAAGCAGAGATTGAATTAAAGTTTGTTTAGTGCTTTACATTTGAAATTAAGGGAAGAAATCTGTTGTTCTCTTATTATTTGGAGACATAATTTAATGCAGAGATTGTCAGGATATCAGATGGAAGGGAGTTCAATTTTGAGCAAGAGGCTTGACGAAAAGGAAAGTGAAGATCTGTCCTTCCAAAGTGGAGAATGGGAATTGAGTGAATTGCTTTCACCATTTTGTAGTGTTGGGATTGACAATAATGGGACCACTTTAAACGCTTCAGTTAACCATCAATTGGTGGGTATGGGTCATTAACAGGGTTATGACCTTGGTACAGTCCTCTTGGAATTTACAAAATGGACCTGCTGGATGAAGGTTGAGAAAGGAAATCAGCAATGGAACATGTACTTGGATTTCGCAGTAGCTCAATTAGGAAATCTGTTTCCCAGTTTAGTTCAAGATCTAAACAAAACAATATAAATTTCTTACCAGGATAAACATATGCATATGTAGCATTGAATGCATCTGTATCATCATCTGTTAAAAAATAAAAAGTAATGTTGAAAGTGGTTTACTGCCAGCTATGGTAATAATGGAATTGGACTAGTAGTTTTGTTCTCATTCTAATATATTGTACACCACTTGCATCAAAGTGAATCCTAACTAAACTGACCCTAACTAGTTCAGACTACATTACTGCTAATTTTTCTTCATATCACAGGGTAGGTATCCCTCTAATTCCCTAAATTACTAGTGAATAAATGCACTCAATGCTAATTTTGATATTTCACATCTATGTCAACTGCCCACCCATTTGTATTTGTTTGCCAATGTGGCATTATGGCTACCAAGGCTTATAAATGATTGGTTCACAATGTCAGTTAGAAGTTGACAGTTTTACAAAACAAAAGGAAGATGTTGAAAACATAATTTCTAGCAGAAACATGGAACATTGCAGGTCTGTAAAAAGGATGCAAATAAAATAAAAGCAACATTTTAAGCAGCTGGGCAAAGACTTTATGGTAAAGCTATTTCGACTGCCGTGTGCATAGGGATGAATAAAAAATAATTGAGCCTTTCTAAAATCAAGGGATTTGCTTTCAAAGGCATTTGAAAGTCAGCATGTGTTCCCTAGCCAATCAGTTCATAAATGTGCGAGGCACAGAGAACAGAACACAAAATGTTTCTTTTCTGGTAACAGTAACACTTGACGATCATTTCTGTAACAGCTACATGTCCAAACAGGTCTCCATCAACAGCCCCAAGCATTACAAATGAAGGGCTTCCTCCAGCCTACTTCCAAATCCCAGAGCAACTTCCAAAACAGTTTACAGCATAAAGGACTCAGTGCTGAAGGAATGGGTTATCCAATGTCTAGAACTTTATAGGAGAACATGGGCTGCCCATGGGAACATCTCTTTAATAAAGACCATCAGATTAGGACTTAGATTCAGCAGGCCATGCCAAGCACACTGGTATCTACAGCCTTGTAGTTCGTCTACTAGAATAGCAAGCCAGCTGGTACATTACAAGATGTCCTGCGAAGACAAGTCATCCACAGTTTAGCTTATGTGCACTGGCAACGTTGAATGTAAAATGTGTGCTCAATCTATTTTTGAACACTTAGTAGTTCCCAAAAACCTGGCTGCCGGGTGTACAATTTAAAATAGAGTAAGTGGAGCGTTTCCTCAGGTTCAACATTTTTTCACAGTGAGACAACAAAAAGTCTTTCTGTATAGATTTCTCAGCAGGTTTGTTTATGTTTTGTTTCTAATGGCTTATCATTAAAAACTGGTTATCAACAAATTTATGGTGTCTTGGGGACTAATATTTAAATTAACCAGGCACAGTTTGGTAACACCTGAAGTAATTGTACCTTTCATCATCAGATGTAAAACAGACAATTGCTCCTGGATAGTGCAGCTTACATATCTTCCTAACTCCTGTTTTCATTACCATCGCTGGGAAAAAAAATTGTGAGGTGTGTCTATAACGCCTACGTCCACCTCTGGAACATCTCCAACCTCCATCCCTGCCTCAGCCCGTCTGTTGTTGGTAACCCTCACCCACAAAGTAACAATGGTCAAGTCAGCCTCCAGACTCTGAAACACTCAGCTCATCCAAAAACTGCTCTGCACCAAATTATATTTGCCTATCACTCCTATCCTTTGTTGACATCCTTCCACAGCCTCAGCTGTTCTTACCTGTAACCATCCCCATCACCCCAGAATATTCCCTTGCCACAGCAATATTATTAAGGGCATCCCTCCCCCTTCCTTTACTCTGCAATAACAATGTTTTCATCCCTGTAGGTGCTTTGTTCTTGAATGCTCTCCCTAAACTATTCTTTCCTCCTGAAACGTCTCTGGTGAAATTTTTGGTTACCCATATCTCTCCCCTGTGCTCCAGTGTAGCACCTTGAGATGTTTTTCTAAGTTAAATGGGCGATAAGATAAACACAAGCTGTTGTTGAATAACACAGCATGGAAATTAGAACTCGGAGGTTCACAGTTTAACTTCAAAATGTTAATTATTTATCTCAGACATCAATCTTAAACATACCTGGCTTATGCACCATATGTATTTGCTTGAACATCGTCTTATACCAGTCTTTCGGTCGATCCACTGTCTAGATTACAAATGCAAGATTAAATTAGTCACCAAAGAGTAAAATACACACACCCTCTCTTTGTTTACTCCACTTCCAAAACTCAGTAATTTTTTTTCTACAAAAGTGGAAGTAACAATTACTTTTTCCAATCATTGGGCTTGAAAATGTCAGCACTTGGACTTAGTACATACTTAGACCTTAGAAATGCTGATAGTCATTGACTGGTCAAGTGACTGATTCATTACACTGAAGACTCTATGCAGCATCAACCACAACCTAATGTGGGGAGGCGATAGCCTAGTGGTAGTACCACGAGAGTATTAATCCAGAAACTCAGCTTACATTCTGGGGACCCAGGTTCGAGTCCCAGACTTGAATTCAATTAAAAAATAATTCTGGAATTAAGTATCTACTGATGATCAAGAAACCATTGCTGATTGTCAGGAAAAACCCATCTGATACCTTCAGGGAAGGAAATCTACTGCTCTTACCCGATCTGGCCTACAGGCTCATGGCAATGTGGCTGGTTCTCAACTGCCCTCTGAAATGGTCTAGTAAGTCACCCAGTTTAAGGGCAGCTAGGGACAAGCAATAAATGCTGGCCAGCCAGCAATGAGAGCAAAAACAAAATACAGAAACTCCTTTATGTGAAGAAGGGCTGAAAATAGATGTCCTTTCTAATACCATCATAGCTGTTGTAGAGAAAATACCTAGTCTTGAATTGGTTGTGTCTATTTAAAGTAATAGGCAGAAAAGGCAGAAATTATATGAGAAAAAATTTTCACAAAGGAAGTAGTTAAAATCTGGATGCATTGCCTTTGATTGTGGTAGAAGCAGCATCAATTGTGGTCTCAAAATGGAGTTGGACTGTATTTTTGGAAAGGAACAGTGTGTATGGTAACGATGAGAAGACAGGGAGAACAAATATGATGGGTTGAATGGCCTCTATCTGTGCTATAATGACTCTGCAATTCTGTCTTCAAGCAAGTTGGCAGATCAGATGCTACAGAAGAGCTCTCTATAAATCCCAATGCTGGTGTAAGTGTTCAAACGGGGTCTAATTTCCCTGAAGCTTCAAGTTCATTCTATTGCTGATAATAGCAAAATCCTACTTTCTGTTGTTCCTGAGATGTGAATCTCCAATGCCTCCAGCAGCCTCAAGCTGAGGAAACTGTAGGAGCAGCATCACTATCAATAGAGGGTTTCTCGCAGGAGGAGCAGGAACATCACTTCTCATTCAGAATCTTCAATATGATTTAGTCATGGATGAGCTATTATTTTAATCTTCACCTGTTGCAGCAGCAGATGACACAGCTGCACAGTTCTTCACAGGAGCTGATCAAATTTCATTCATTAAAGCAGGATCAACTAACATGTAAAGTCATGCCAGACCATGGGGCTGCTATCTCATTGACACAGATGACCGATATGGTTTCATTTGAAGGTCACCATTCCTCAGGCAAGGGGAGAGATTGAGGAGAAGCAGCCCCTTGCTTAATCTTTCCCCAGAGTACTACCAAGAAGAAAAAGAGATGGAAGACTCTGTTCACCATCTTTTGACTGCGATTAAAAGCAGAAATCTCAGCGTGCTGATCTCAGTGCCTTCCAAGGAGATGTCTGTAGAGAACATGATCCTACATATCTTCTAAGAGAGCTGAGAACACAGCTGGAGATTAAGTCCATCAGCACCATAGGCTGAGACAAGGTGGGGTTAAAAAGAGCAGAATGGAAAGAAGAAGGGTCTAGGCCCGAAACGTCAGCCTTCCTGCTCCTCCGATGCTGCTTGGCCTGCTGTGTTCATCCAGCTCTACACCTTGTTATCTCAGAATGGAAATGTAAATAGTTTATGAGTACAGCAAATTTGAGGAAGACCACAAGACATTGCAGCAGAACAGGAGCATTTAGCCGTCAAGTCTACTCTGCCATTCAATCATGGCTGATAAATTTCTCAACCCCATTCTCCTGCCTTCTCCCTGCAACCCTTGATCCCCTTACTAATCAAGAATCTATCCATCGCTGTCTTAAGATATAGTATAGGAGTCAATAGCTATAAGTTAATAGCCATGCTGCATCTTCAGTAGTGTCAGATCACACGGAACTGGGACCTGTGTGAAGAAGTTTCTTGTGAAGTGCTGCTGAGCTGTGCCTCTGTACATGATGGAAGTAGTTCATACATGCTTATCGGATCACATTAGAATGGTGGCCTATCCTATATATAGGGCTCCCAGAACCTGCTCATGATATTTCTACAAACAGCATGGATTTGAGAAGCTAAATGACCTATTCCTGATCCTACCTTCCTTGACTTTTCCTCCAGAGAATTCTGTAAAGTTGGTTAATTAGGGCTGACCTTTCAGGCATGCATGCTAACCTGGTGAAGAACCAGAAGAACCAGAAAATATTCAAGATGGTTGTGGAGTAGGTTGCTCCAATCGGAGCTCCTCTGCTCCTTCTATTTATTTCTATTTTTCCCCTTTCTCCCCTCTTGGCATTCTCTCCTGAGGAAGAGCAGGCTGGAAGCATGGAGTGGAACGGGCTGGAGGCTCATGCTGAGCAGGGATGGCCAGTGGGCTGGATGCACGCACGGAGTCTCGCACAGATCAGGGACGGTCAGCGGGCTGGGGGCTCAGGCGGTGTGGGGATGGTCAGCGGGTTGGAGAATTGAGCAGATCAGGGACGGTCAGTGGGCTGGGGGCTCAGGCGGTGT